GTGGAGGGGACAGAGAGAAAGAAAACGGGAAGTGATGGTGACACTGGTGGTAGGGAGAGAAGAGGAGGAAGAAAGGGTGATTGGTGATAGAGGTAGTGACGGGGAAAGAGAGAAGAGGAACCAAAAAAAATTAAAATTAGGGAGAGGGTCGGATTTGACCTGAACTATATATGTGAAAGGTTTAAACTTGCTTCTCATCAACTATACGAAAGGTTCAAATTTGCTCTCCACTTTAAAAAAATTAATCCTTAATTGGAGTATACGTGACATCACTAGGTGATGAATCAGGGTAAATTAGTTGTTCTTAATTACTTGTCCATTTTTTTCTTTTTTAGTTGTCCCTAATGATTTGTCAATTTTGGCAAATCAAGAAAAAACATTTTTTTTACCTAATATATCCTCAATTAATTACTTTGAAAAATGTAGAGCTTCTTGAAACTCTTGAGTATTTGATTTATCCACATCATAATTAAGAGGGGTAAAATGATAAACTCTATGTCAATTATTATTTTCTTAATAGGTGTGTCAATTTAAAAGTTGATAAATAATTAGGGACAAAGTATGTATTAACCTCAATTATTAATGAGAAGCAAAGTTGTCCCATATCACATAATTCTGGGGCCAATTTGACCCTTAATAAAAGACTATTGAAGATTATTATCTAGTCTAGTGTAAAAAACAGAACATATGTTTTGTACTCTTCTCCATCCATTTTTAATTGTTATATTGCACTTTTCGAGTTGAATAGTTTTTAAAGTTAAATTATATCACATTCATTCGATATTTTAAATAAAAAATATAGATATTCAATACATGTATGAAAAGTACTATAAATTGCAATTTATTGATATATGAAAAAATACATCATAAAATATTAGTCAAAGTTTTTATCTTTTAACTCTAAAAAAAAGAAACCATGACAATTAAGACCAACTTTCACATATAGCAAAGATAAAAATCATATTTGTATGTTATAGCTATAGTTTGCATTATTGCACTCCATAACAAATTTTATGTTTGTTATAGAGCTTTTGATTTGTATAATCTGCTAGATACATCCAATTTTATACAAATTGTTCAATTTTGTATAAATTCATTTATACATTGTAATTGATATAGTAAGATCTGTATTTGTATGATTATAAGTGTATATGACGAAAATATATGTATTTGTATATATATACTTTTCTCTCGCTTTATACAAACACAAATGCATTTTATACCGAAATGTATAAAATGTCTAATTGTATACTGAATCAGATGACAAAAAAAAGAAATGTTTGCTGCGAATTACAAATAAAATAAACTATGACAATAACATTTAATTTGAATTAATAATTTGTTATTTCATACATTTTTCTCGACAATTAAAAGTGGATTGAGGGAGTATTATATCTTATATTTTCATTTTTAACCTGATATCTACCGATCAACTTATATTTATTACTCCTTTTATTTTAATTTGTTTATTTGATTTTAATTTTATACGTTTATTCAATTTCAATTTTATATGAAATTTTTAAAAATATAGAAACTTTTGAATCTTATATTCTAGATAAAATATATAAATAGTTAAAAAGTTAAAAGTAAATAATTGCCAAAAAGGAAACAAATATTTTTTCAAAATAAATAAAAAGAAAAATAAGACAAACAAATAGAAACCTCTTGCTATTATTTAATATCGTATTATAATGCTTGCATTAACGGAACACCTATACCCGAGCTATACAAAGAATTTTTATACCATTAGAAATAACTTTGGATGACCTAAAAATGTAAGAAAAATATTTTGTGTTGTATATACCAGTTATATATAAATATCCTAGAGGGTTTAGACTAGTTGGACAGAATGAAGACTTTACCACTGATTTTTTTTTTTAAAACAAGCATCTGGCTGTGAGATAAAGAGGGAAATATACAATGCAACTGGGTATGTATTGATTGGACACCAAATAGGGTTGTGGTGGAGTTCGAGATCCTGGTGATTACAGAGGCGGAGTTAGTATTAGGAATTTTGAGTTCTAAATTTCCCTCCCTTCCGAATCATTGAGCTGTCAATAAGTTTTTTTTTAAGGAGTTCACAAGTTATTATTTAATTTTCTAGTACAAATATAAAATCTAGAGAAAAGCTAATGAACCTCACCTAGATCCACCCATGCCGATGGAGTTTCGGAGACCTTTTCCTCCAAATAAAGAGTCACCTTTATTTGAGAGCACTTTACCCAATTTTAGTCCAAAACTAGTTAACGGTGGCCTCCTAACGCCTATACTCCAGTTCTGTCAAAAGCTAGCAGACAACTTTGACAGTGATTTTTGCAGCTCTCATTCAAAAAATGCCGTATCTTTTGACTCATAACTCTTTTCATTTGACTATGAATATCTTGTGGTTGCTAACTCAACCTAATTCGAAAAGGTTTTACCATTTGAAGGAAATTATAAAACTAAAAAGGATAAGCAGAAGAAGAATCGGCATATATAAAATCATACTATTCTCCAAGGAACAGAACAATATATTTCTGACCTGATAAAAAGGAGTGAATCTGGAAAGAGGTGCTGGACCAATTATGTTAGCATATTTGATCTGCTTCTTTTGTCACTTGCAATTATATTCGCGATGATACATTTCAATGGCGGGGGCGAAGAATTAAGGACCAAAATAGAATTCTCAATGGCGGGGGCGAAGAATTAAGGACCAAAAAAGAATAAGGGAATTGAAAGATTGATTTGAAATTTGGAATGTTTTCGTACTTATTTGTGTGGAAAATGGAATTACTACTCTATTCCATGAATCGTGTATGGTAGAGAGAGTTTCTAGGGATTCGAGTGAAACGCATGCCCAACGCGTTTCACTTCCTCAGGTGCTCCACGGACACCTGTACCTTTATCGATCCACTTGCCAACTTTATCTTTCTACTTGTTCCGTTCATTTTTATTTGTCACTTTTTTTTTAAAAAAAAAGTACTATATTAATTTGTTGTATTTATATATCAAGAAAATATAATTATTTTTTCATATTTTATCTTTAGCATTAAATACTTATTTTCTAAATTATTTTTCAAGACCTAATACCAAATACTTCCTCCGTCCCATTTTATGTGGCACTTTTCAGATTTCGAGATTCAAATAAATTTGACCGTAAGTTTTTCATAGGTCTTTTAAACATCTTGAATTATCAATTATTGTGACTTATAATACTTTTTACGTAGTTTACAATATATAAATTTCATTTTAAAAAAATTGAAGATTTTATGTGCAAATTTCGGATAAACTTAAACTATTTTAACTCTTAAAAAATTAAAATTATCATATAAATTAAGACAGAAGAAATATCATCAGATAGGAATAATAGAAATCTCAAGGGAGCAAGTTTCATATAGAAAAGGAAGCAAGTTTCATGAAACTTGCTTTTCTAAAATCTTCTATTTCATCACAAAGTAATTTATTGCATATTGATTGACAAAAATCTCAACCTCTTTTGAGTGATTTTTTTTTGATAATCAAAAAATCTGTCTGTGAGCTCTTTTGAGTGATATGTAGACCTACAAACCCCTAAATGGGTTTTACTAACATGAGACTAATTCAGATAGCAGCATTTATATATTTTTACTTTATATTTTGATATTTTTTACTAAATTTTTTTAATCCATCACAATCTATATCGGACGGCTTTAATCGACTATTCTGCATCATTTGTCTACCTGATCAAGACTGTCTCCTCCCCATACATTAGATAAATCTCTATCTGCACACTCTTTTTCTTTTTAGGTTTTCAAACATTTTTCAATTTTTGCACATCAAAATCTGCGCTTTTTTTGAATTTCTGCACAACAAAATCTGCATATTTTTAATATTTTGCATACCATTTTCTACTCATTACAGAAAAAGGGTTTCAAATCAATTCAAAGATAATTATAAGATAAAGAAATTAGGAGTTATGACTGATTAATACAGTGAAACCTCTTTAAATTAATACCTGATTAATTAATAATCTCTATGAAATAATATTTTCTTTCGATCTCGAATTGGGTCAGTGAAAAAAGTCACTCATTTTGATAAGATATTATATTTTCAGAAAACTCCTATATAAATATATGATCTCATTAATATGATTTAATTGTGTTCTGTTTTTTTGTTAAAATTTAAATCTAGTTGAAGCTCATATTTAGCTTTTCTTATTGCATCCAAAAGTTTCAGTGTTATCTTTTTGAACTGCATCACAAAATTGTGAAGAGTTTTAAGTGCAATTATAAGTGTTTCCTTACGTGTAATTGACTCCATAGATATTATATCATCTTTAACTTTATCATCAACATTATATTTTTCAATGATATCCGCAATTTCTTCTAAGCTTTAAACCTCTGAACATGTATCATTTTCACTAATCCAACATGTTATTAATGTCCATTTTATTGCGATAATTGACATCATCAATCATGATCTCAATTCTCAAGCTCATGAATGACGTTTTCACAAGGGGGTTCATTTAAATTATCTAAGATTTCATCACCAAATAAATTTTACGGTGTCGAAACACTTTTTAAATTAATATATTAATTTATTTATTAAATAATACCTCTATAAAATAATATTATTTCATGGTTCCTCCTATATTGATTTAGTGAAGTTTTATTGTAATATAGGAAAACTAATATAAATTTTAAAACATATTAAAGAGAGAATAATTAGTAGTGATTGACCAATATGAGTTGTGATGCATTGGTGGGAACTAGTGGAAGTGTTTCACCTTTAACCAGAGGTCTCGAGTTCGAGTCCTGAATATAGAGAAAATCTTGTTGGAGCGCCACCCCGAATGAGTCGGGTGGGAAACAAAAATAATAATTAGTAGTAGTGATTGAAGGGATGGATGTATTTGGTTAATTTTAGGAAACCCAAAGGATATTTTCGGTTAAATGAAATAGTACAACGATAAAGTGACAGTTGAGGTGAAACAACAGGGATGAATTTGGTTAGAAATTCTTGCAGTGTTCCATGTAATTGCCTCTTTCTGAAATCGTCCTCGCTTTCAGTCGCATAATCCGTTTTTGCCTCAAACTTTATCCTACACCATATTGCTTTACGTCTTCGTCTCTTGAGCTACCGATTTACTGGATACCGGCCGTTCATCTGAAAAAATAATGGCTGAAAGTTCCGATTCGACATTGCTTGATAAAGAGAGTGTCAGCACCACTGCAAATAACAAACGCGAAGCTCATTCTGATAGCTCGGATTCCGTAACAAAGAAGTTGAGAAGCAGCGACACTCATGAGGAGCCGAAGGCTGAAATCACTGTCCCGAAAAATGGAAGTGAATTGTATTTTGAAATAGAAGCTGATGCAGCTGAGGATAAGGGTTCCAGACATACCATGGAGGACGCTTCTGTTGTTCTTCCTGATGCTGACCTTGAATTTCCCGGGAAATTGAGGTTTTTCACTAACCCTAATTCCCAAATAAATTTGTGTATTTTACGTATGGATTAGCTTTATGTAGACAGGGTTTGTTTGACACTCCGCATAGCTGGTTAATTGATTATTGAGGGAGATGAAAGAGTTGCGTTAGGAAAGCGATCACTCGAATACTTAGTCTTTTTGTTTTGGCGTTCTATTTGCTATTTTTTTAACCTGGTCTTTCGAAGATCTAATAGGACTCATAGCATTAGCTTAGAACAATGACAGCAACAACAACCGCATGTAATCACATGTAATCCCATGGAGTCTGGGGAGGGGTAGTGTGTATGCATACCTTACTAGAGGTTGTTTCAATAGACCTTCGGTTTTAGGAAAAAACTTTTCAAAGCAGTTAGAAGAAAGATAAAAGGAAAGTGAAGAAGCCATGGCAAAATACTAAAGAAAATGTGACAAATCATTCTGTAAAGGAACATTAGTTACAATAAAATAATATGATACTAGTAGTACAAAAACCGATTAGTAGTGCAGAATCAAAGAACAAAAAACTATAAGAGTAATACTATGCCTACTAGGATGGAATGATAAGCGGCACAATGCTCAACTACGTACTAACCTTCTACCCTAATCCTTGTCCTTCATAACCTTCTAAGTCTAAGGTCATACCCTAATCCTTGTCCTTCACATAACCTTTTATCAGTAAGTTGAAGTTGTGTCATGTCTTGTCTAATGAAAAATAGAAAAGAGAAATATACAAGTTTGACATGAATTTGAGACCGATGTACTTTTTGAGATCTGATTTAATACACTGCTAGGTTTTTTGAAATTTTCCTAACCATGTTATTTCCTTTATAGATGTGCTCATTTTGCAATATATGATGGGCATGGAGGTCAATTAGCTGCTGAGTATGCCCGGAAGCATTTACATGCCAATGTTCTATCTGCAGGCTTACCACGTGAGTTGGTGTGTTTGCTTAGTCTTGTTAGTGTTAGTCTAATATTTGTTGCGACCATTGGTCAATCATCAATTGTTGCATAGTTTCTGTTACTAGTAGTGGTTACTTTCTATTTTGTTTCTGTTCTGTGTACTATGTGCTCATTGTCATTGTTTCAATGAATTTGCAGTTGGATGTTAAAGCAGCCAAAAAGGCCATACTCGAAGGTATGGTACTGGGCTTCTTTGCTAGATATTTAAACTTGATAATATTGCTCCTTAGCCTGTTTTCAATTGATCCAACTATTGATATTACCCATGGTGGATTAATGTAGTCTCTTTTCCATTTTTCATGTTTATCAGGATTTAGGAGAACTGATGAGTCTCTTCTTCAGGAAAGCACCAAAGGTATCTTTTTCTCAGTTCAAACCTTTTTCTGTATTCTTGGTTTCCTTAAAAGTTTCATCAGGAGGTCCTTTTTATCTAATTTGACAGCAATTATTGAATATAATTGTGATTTTGTTCTCCCATTCAAGATTTGTGTTTGGTAGTCCTAATTTTTATATGCTGACACTATCCTACTTGATCCCTGTATCTTTTATTTTCATTGAGAAGGAAAATAAGCTATATATTTTTATGGCGGTGGATGGCCTGAATTGTTTCTGATACTCCTCATGATGGCCTGGTGGTAATGATGTTGGTGTTTAATAGTTTCAAAAGCAAGACTTTTGCCTTGAGAAAATTTGGTCAATTATAATTCATTGCGATCAGTGATGGATTTCGGGTTATTGCTGTTTCTACCAGTGATATATTGGATTTGGGGTAATTGCTGGATTTGAGGCAATTTCACCTCTTTCTGGAAGGTTCTGTTGAATGGTGTTGCTATCTTTCATTTTTGATGTTTTTATTCTGTTCCATCTAGCCTGTCTAGCTAGTGGCACTAGAAACCTCGAGGTCTACACAAGCATCAATTCACTAACAGCAAAAACTGTTCATCTAATGAGAAAACTGTTCATTTCTCCATTACATTGAATTTGCTGTGTCATTTACATCTAAAAGCATTAGTATGTTTTACAATATGTACATATTTTATCATGTTTTCTCATGATCAGGAGGTAAAGAGTGGTAGGCTAGATAGTCAATCAGATAGTTAGGAAATGATGTTGGTTCATTTTCCCTCAGAAATGCTAGTGAAAATTGATCATTTGTTTGAATTGCTACTACCCAGGCTCTGTATTTTTTTTAGGCAGCTCGGTGCACTAAGCTCCCGCTATGTGCAAGGTCTGGGGAAGGGCCGGACCCAGGCTTTGTATGTGATACTTAAAGTATACACCAATGGTTCAAGACACTTCATTGTCAAACCTGGTTGTATAGTCAATTGAAAAGGTTTGACTGCTTAGTACTTTCGGTTTACATAAGGCATGATACTAGGTAAGTAAAACCGTAAAAGAAGCAACAGTGACTTTCTGGTTTTCGTTTCCATTTTTGGAATACTGAACTGAATATCTTGACTTCTTTTCAGGGTTTTGTTTCTTCGGAAGACATTCTTTATCTCCTTGTTTAACCTCTTCTTATGTATTTTGCGTTTCTGCTCAGTCTGTACCTTTCTTCACTTCTTGAAAGCATTCACCTATTTGTATCTTTCATGTTTGAATGCTTTAAATGCTTTTTCTGATATCACATATCTGGTATTTTACTCTGAATTGTAAAATGTTATCACTTCTCTGGTATTTTACTCTAAATTGTTTAGTTTTATCACTTCTTTGATTCATATTCCAATGTTCAAGCTGTGTTTGTTATTTGCTAAGGATCTTCAGCTTTCCATTTTATTCGTCTCTTTTAAAAGCTGATAACCTACTTACAGTTTTTAGATGCATCGACAGGTGGTTGGCAAGATGGAGCAGCTGCAGTATGTGTCTGGGTATTAGGCTCCAAAGTAAGTTTGATCTTATAATTCTTTATGTACTCAAATTAGTGGTTGGTTTTTGAGCTCCACCATGATTCTCTTTCCACACTGTTGAACTTGTTGGAATGACGGTTTTGGCATCAGAAGCATATACAGCTTGAGGAACACTCATAGTTGTAGTGTGAGTCCATCAATATTAGATTGGTCTGTTTACTATCTCTCACACACAGACATGTAGAAGTGTATAACTATTCCTTTCAGGGAAAACCTACATTAAGATACTTCAAATCTTGGTGCTAAAGCTTTTGTGACATGCGGTGTGGTCCTGAAAGAGTCATCTGGATGTTGAGCGTCAAACCAACTACCATTAGTATCTCTGTAAAGTAGTTCCTCTAATCTAAGTTGTCTTCATGTAAAACTTACTCTTCAAATAAGCTGCGGCGCCTCACAAATATGTACTTCCCTTGCTAGCAGTTTCATATTGTTTCCCAGGGATTTGCACTGAATATCTAATGAACTTTGCACTATGGCTGATTAGGTGTTTGTTGCTAATATTGGAGATGCGAAAGCAATTTTAGCTCGGTCATCTCCAACTGACGGTTCAAACAACACTTCTGATGGATCAACTCCAATAAAGGCCATAGTCTTGACCAGGGAACACAAGGCTATATATCCTCAAGAACGTGCACGCATCCAAAAAGTAAGCATTAGGCAATGAGTGCCTTTTGAATGCTTAAACCATTTCTCATTTTTGTAGTGGTGCTGGATTATCTATCTTGTTTTCTTACTCTCAAAGACTGGCTAAAGTTTGTTTAACTTATGATAATTTATGATCCATTTTGATCAAATAATTAGATATTGATTCTGGATTTAGGTACTTTCAAACTGAATGTGTTCCATAATCTTTGTCCAGATATAATCTCATATAATAGCACATGTATATACCTTTCAGACGGAGGTAGATAAGAAGGATCTTGTTGGCAAAAGAATTAGGTGATTTCTTTCCATGCTCAAGTCTTGGTAGGCAGAGATACCTGATACCTATGCTGGTGAGAGGTGACAGGTATAAGTGGATTTAGTCGAGGTGCATGCAAGCTTTCCAAAAGATACTCATTAGGGAGTAGTGGCCAGATTAGTCTGTTATTTCTTTACTAAAAAATTCAATGCTACTATCTAGATGACCAAGTAGTTCCAACAATTTTTTTTGATAAGTGCTTCTGAATTGATTTTTTCTTGTCATAAGTTGAACGTAGTGCCCAAATCATTTCTTGCTTTCTTTTTTTGGTTAACAGAGGTTTTCATTCATAACCAAGGGATCATTACAAATCAACGCAGTTTTAGGACTAACTGCTTCTCATACTATCCATTTATCTTTCTAATCATACAGAAAACAAGCAAGAAACTAATCTATTACAATGCAAAGAGCCTTAACTCTAAGGATACTTATTAAGAGCTTGTAGTATAGGTTTCCATTTTGCCTTGTGTTGTCCTCTGAGATGAATATGCATTACGATCTCCCTTAGGACCTTGTCTACGCATAAACTCCCTCACTGGAACCTGATCTTATTTCTTTCTCTCCAAATGATGTAGACAATCATCACAAACACCCTAGTCTTGATCTCAGCACCTCCTGCATTCGTTTTAGCAATATCACTGATCCAAGCTATCTCTGATCTCCAGTCTTGAACAACTCTTTGGATTCCCAGACAGTTACATAGCCGTCCCCATAAAGTCATTGTCACCTGGCATTCGAAGTAGAGATGATCAAAAGTTTCCTTTGCTATGCCACTGAACACACAGTCAGGTGGCACCTGGATGCCAATTTTTTCAAGTCTTTCAGCTGTTGCTAATCTTTTCTGCACAGCCAGCCACAAAATGAATTTGAATCTAGGATGTACTCCATGCTGCAAGGTAATACTCTTCCATTCAATTCTTGGGAAAGTAGGCATAATGTAGGTATACATCTTCTTAGTAGAAAACTTCCCACCCTTCTGTGCCTTTGCAAACTCACCATCAAATTACCCTGCCCAGCTTGCCTTTTAAGTAACACATCTCTAGTCCCCAATATCTTTCTCACTACCCACGAAGCATCAGTAGGTAGGAGGACAGTTTCTTGCTTCTCTGTTATGGTATTGACTTCTGCTGATGAATATCCATGGTCCTGTAGGCTGGGGGATCTGTCAGTTCTAATGGACGATTACAAGCGCGCCTTGAAGTTTCCAGAGCTTTCGGAGATCGGCAGTTCAAGAAGGTTTGTGTGCTAAGATTAAAAGTATCTCAATGTTGACCAGACCTTTTCTTTTTCCTTTAATTTTTTATTGGTGATTGTGTGACTATAATTGTTTCTTTCTGTTTATCCATATTGCAAGTGATAATGTGTTTTTGCATGGTTTTATAGAAACATAATTGAGCATCCTAAGAAATTACTATTGTTATCTGTAGCTGCTCCGTTTTTGTTATTTCCCTATCCTCTGAAAGGTTTTCATGTACAGATAAAGTGTGGGGTAAGTTTGATGGTGCATTTGCTGCATATACAGTTCATATATCATCAGCAAAGTCATGTTTTCCTAGTGTTTTGGCCTTGTACGTTCCAAAAAAATCATGCTACATAGGTGTCCATGAATTAAGCTGTGTTTAAAAGAACTGATCATTTGAGACAGGTGATAGATTCGTTTGTTTCTCTATCTGTCAAGTTTATCTGACAAACCTTGATTTTGGGAATGGATGAAATGACCCACATCTACACATAATATACGCAAATGTGTGTGTGTCTACTTATCACTTCTTCATTAGTCTTTTGTTGCTTGAAGGAATCCTGTGGATAGTGGATTTTCATATATGTGCATGTGGCTGCTCAAATATCTTCCAGAGAATTCAATAGCTGGTTGAATTACTTGTTGAACATGCAGTTTATCGTGTATTTCATCTTTTTCATGTAAAGGAATTCAATATGCAGGTTGGTGTCATTGCAACTCCAGATGTTCATTCATTTGACCTTACCGAGAGAGACCACTTTATCATTCTTGGCTGTGATGGCTTGTGGGGGGTATCTTTGTTTTTTTCTTATTGTATTATTCTTATAGTCATGCATACAACCACTATGCTTTGGGTGCCCATCCCGGGGATATTACTTTTTCCCTATGATTGTAGGTTTTTGGGCCAAGTGATGCTGTTGATTTTGTTCAGAAGCTATTAAAGGTATGTCATCCCCCCACCGTTCTGTCACCCCCTGGAAAGTTAAGCAGTCTCCCAATGATTTGCACTTTTTGACTAATTTCTGTTAGCAACTTGCTTAACCTTTGCATTTGTTTGACAGGAGGGGCTATCTGTGAAAGCTGTGAGTCGCCGCCTTGTGCGGGAGGCAGTCCGAGAGCGTCAATGTAAAGATAACTGCTCCGCTGTTGTAATTGCTTTCAGGAAAAAGCAGTAAAACTCAGAAATTTGTTCAAAAAGAATCTTAGAGTCTAGGCAACCAGATCTGGTCTTGTTCTTTGGTTCATACTTTGTGATGGGTTGTATCATGCTTTCATCTAATGTAGTTGCAGATTCTTACGTTTCAGATCTCTTGGCTTTTGACCAAGCTGTGCAATGTGTGTTCAGTCTTTGAAATCTTTTCCAGCACAAGACATGTATGAACAAACCATCCAAGTTGGATAAATTTTCATACAACTAATCGAGCTTTTTTGGTGTAAATTAAAGGATTCAACCCTTTTCAGTTTGTTGTATTTGATTAGCTGTCGTGTTAGCTTTGCTTCATCAAGTGTTTTACCTTAATTTAGCTTTCCTTTCATGGTCGTTAATATTCGTTCGATTTTTTCAAATTGCTGATTGAGAAATGAAAAATGTATGTACATTTTGTGTAATATTCTCATTCATGAATCATCTTGGTTCCCAGATTTTACTTTATTTTTGGTTGACAAATTAGATAAGAATATTCTTTTTCTAATCGTAGAATCTCTTAATAAAACCTACCTACTACTCTGAAAAGATCAATAATAAAGATAACATGGTTTTTGTCTACTGACTGAAGATTCTCAAAGGACAAACTATGATTTTGGTTGATTGCTTGTGAAAAGATTCTATTTATCAAATGTCTTTGCAGTTGCAAAGTTTATTTTGCTTTCATTAGATTTCTTAAATTGATTATTAACTGTACTGATACTGATTGCCAAATGATACAGTCCTCCTATTGTGGACGTCAATTATCAGACTACTAGTTGTATATTGCAAAGTTGGGTATTTTATTATGAAAATTTTAACCAAAATGAAGGACCACATGGGATCTAAGATTCGTTTTTCTTTTAATCTTGTTGATAATGGCGATTTCATAGACAAGCTTGTATGCACTTAATTATCTCACCAGGTATCTAATGCGCGCATATTGGATAGATGAAAAGTAATCGCTAAGCATTTTTGTTTTGCTTGGTTAAGATTTGAACCTCATGTCCTACTTACTTAAATTTAACTAAAAATAAACATAAACTCCTACCTAAATTAATAGCTGCAAAAATTAAAGAAAGATCACAAAAATAGGGTGTGGGTTTCATATCTTTAAATTATTAACTACCAAACCAACATGCATAACTCCCACTCTGTCTCCCTAACAAAGTTCAAAAAAGTCTTAAGTCAACCAATCATATAACGTTTAGATAAAAAGAAATCTCATAATGGACAGATTTGCATGCAAAGCATAGAGCAACTATATCAATAAATGCACATTATACATTAAGAGACTTAATTTTTTTTTTTAAAATATTCAAATCCCATAATATTATGTCTAAATGATCACTTTGCATATGCCAGTAAGGTTGTTATGTTTTCTCCCTCAATTATTCAATAATTTAATACACATTTTTTTTCTTTCCAATTGACATCTTTCACTTTGTGTATATATATATGGGGACAATTGTTAGTACTTGAGGATCTAAAGAGTAAAAAAAAATTAGAAAGAAATATCAAAAGATATGGAACCAAAAAGTGGCATTTCTGGAAAAGTGAAACTTCTTATAGCATTGCTTGTTTTGCAATTATGTTTTGCAGGATTTCATATAGTTTCAAGACTTGCACTTAATATTGGTGTCAGCCAAATTGTGTATCCTGTTTATAGAAATATTATTGCATTGGTTTTGTTAGGACCCTTAGCTTATTTCTTGGAAAAGTGAGTCTTTATTTTCAACAAAACACAATTATTTTGCCCTTTTACCATTATTTCTTGATTTATAATCTACTTTTGATTTATACAGGAAGGAAAGACCACCCCTCACATTCTCTCTATTGGTTCAATTTTTTTTCCTTGCATTAATAGGGTAAGCAAGTAGCAAGAGGAGTTATCAACTTCCTATTTTTTTCTTTTTCGAATACAACTATGTACACTGACAGTATAAAGAACTTATATACTATTAGGTCAACTGAAAGATAACTACATGTAGTCGTTTTATAAAAAAACAGGATTAGTAAGAAATAATGTAAGTTACTAGCTACAATATGCTTAAATACATAAACAGTAAAAATTCTTTACATTGTCAATATTAGTAAATCAATTATTGAAATGTATTTTGCTAATCATTGTAATTTTTTGCTTTTCAGAATCACAGCAAACCAAGGATTTTATATCTTAGGGTTGTATTATGCATCACCAACCTTTGCTTCAGCAATGCAAAACTCTGTTCCTGCTATTACTTTTATCATGGCTTCTATTCTAAGGTATGCAAGAGCTCATCAAAATGACTCATTCATTTTATTTTTGTTGATAACCCTGGTGTCCACTAAGACAGATGAAAAGAAATGACTGGATTTAAACCTGAGACCTCATGGTTCTCAATAACGTCATTGACCACTAGGCCTGCCATCAAATGACACATTTACATGGATTCATTAATTTTTGTATCAAAGTATTGAGACTAAAATACATTTTTGTATACTCTCAGGCTAGAAAGAATTCATTTTATGAGGAGAGATGGCATGGCTAAAGTTCTGGGAACCATAGTAAGTGTTGGAGGAGCCACAGTTATTACTCTTTACAAGGGCCCTCCTCTGTTAAAAGGAAGCAATATTTCTGATGAAGAAATGGCTGCTTCTCAAGAGGACATGCTGAATTGGACATGGGGTTGTGTTTATTTGCTTGCTCACTGCTTATCATGGGCTGGTTGGATGGTTCTTCAGGTATCCCTCATGATTGCTAACCATTAAAACAGTATAAGTAGAACTACTTGCAAGTAAATAAGGGGAACAACTTGGTATCTATGTTGCTCAGACTCTTCAAAAATGTTGTCAGATGCTTGTTTGATCCTCCAAAAGAAATGCATTTTGGCAATATTTTTGAATAGCCTGCTACAACAAGTTAAATTACGCAGATCGCATATTATAATGAAATCACAACTGCAATTGTTGTTAGTAAGGCCAAGCAGTCTCCACATGGTTGACAACTTGTTATTTACTTGCTCTAATTAGTGTCTAATGGAACTTGGTAAATTATACAGGCCCCAATGCTGAAGAAGTACCCAGCCAAGCTATCACTTACATCATTTACATGCTTCTTTGGATTGATCCAGTTCCTAGCTATAGCAGCTTTTACAGAAAGGGATCCAACACATTGGAAGATCCAGTCTGGAGAGGAAATTTATCTGATTTTATATGCTGTAAGACCCTTATAATAATTTAAAAACCAACCTTTAATTCACCCTGTTTCACATAATCTTAATTAACATGAATGGCTAACAATTTTGAACTGCAATTGCATTTAGGGTATTATCTCTTCTGGAATAGTCATTTCTCTCCAGACTTGGTGCATTCAGAAAGGAGGACCAGTTTATGTTGCCTCATTCCAGCCTGTGCAAACAGTATTAGTTGCTGTCATGGCTTTTCTAATTCTTGGTGATCAGTTCTACTCTGGCGGGCAAGTCAAAAACTAACTTATATAGTGTGTAAAGTTCAGTTACTTTAATGCGACAAAATAGTTTTTGAGTTTACTATCCCCTTGCTCACAATAAATTGATCTCAAACTAATGAACCTTTAAATGCAGGATACTTGGAGGACTTCTGATTATGTTTGGGCTTTACCTAGTTTTGTGGGGTAAAACAGAAGAGAAAAGAATTGCCAAAACTGAAGAGACAACAATGACAAAACACCTTCTAGCTCCCAACAAAGAGGAAGCATCTACTGGAGCTGATAATTGCTAACAAAATATGTCAAATATTTTCTTTTTTCTTTCCCTTGAAATATTATTTCTTATTTTATGGTTTCTTTCTATAAATTAAAGCTACAAGGTCAGTGTAACCTGGCATGGACACTGTTGCAGTAACATTGAAGAGGAACCAATTTAGTTGAAGTCCAGATAATGAGGGCTGAATTTGTCGTTTGGAAGCTTAACAGCTTTCTAGAATTATTTGTACAATTATACTACTTCCATGTAAACCTTTGAGAAGAAATCAGTCAAATTGGTGTTCCACAGGAACCGTGACTTTTAAAAATATTCCAGTTTGTTTTTTTATCTCCCTTTGATGTACAGTTTCTAATTTTGAATATTACTTTCAAATGATGGATTTCATTTATATCTACATTGTTCTCACTGTGAAGTCAATCCTGCTATTAACCCAATCCCCAAAGCCAATTGAGATTAATTCAAACCCATCGATTCAAAAATGGAAATTCTATGTTGAAGTTCCTCAAAGTAGATGACTTATAGAACCACCTATGCTAATTTATCCTTCCACTTACCCCAACTCATATAACTTACTGTACTTCAGATGACATATCAAACACAAAACGCTACTTCAAAATTTGAAACAAGGTATAGAGTGTACAATACTACACGCACTAAAAGGGATGCTTCTATGTATTGTAAGCCTAAATGAGCATGTTCTTGATACATATTCTAAAAATAAAGCCAATCCTTCAGAAAGAGCAGATACTTGGCCTACTTGAAGAGAACCCATTCTAAGATGTGGTAACCATATTCTCAGAGCATAATAGAGCAGTTCATAGATGACTTTACAGAAGATTAGCACGTACTGGACAGAACAGTAGAGGTGTGCGCAAGTTTGACCTAGACACCACCGTGAAAAAAAAAACTTGAAGAAAAGGTAGCAACTTCTATTAAGTGGTTTGGGAGCAAGCTTCGGCCATTCCCAACCATCTTGCCATAGAAACTCTGCTTTTATGGGAAGATGAAGCTTGCGTAGTCCATAGCACATATCACTTTAATATAACGAATGACCCAAAGGACTCAAACTTGAGCGTGCTGAACCGGTCAGACTAAAGAAGTCCTAGTTACCACATAAGCTTTCAGGTAAAAGCTGGCTACGGAACTGATCAGTACAGGAAAACCCAAGTGTGCATCAGCATTTGCCCCCCAAACTTGAGCACGGATAAAATTTAAAATAAAATTACAAAACACATATCTTAAGACAATCAGAAACCTGAGGCTTCTCTCTGACTCTCTCAGAGGTTTCATTGGGAATTGTGTATTGGCAAATTATTTGTGGGTGAATAAATATT